ACACTTTATTTTGACTGTTAAAACAAAATACAAGATGACACCAAGAAATGGAAAGACATCCCCTGCTCGTGGATTGGGAGAATTAACATCATTAAAATGGCCATACTGCCAAAAGCGACAGATTTAACACTATTCCAATAAAACTCTCAATGACATTCTTCAAAGAAATAGAACAAATATTGATGAGACTCATATGGAACCACAAAAAACCTTGAATAACCAAAACTCTCGTGACTAAAAAGAGAACAGAGGCATCACAATCCCAAACTTCAAGCTAATCTACAAAAGCTATAATAATCAAAACACCATGGTACTAGAACAGAACAGACACAAAGACCAGTGGATTCAAATAAAAAACCTAGATATAAACACACAGATTTAGGGACAGCTAATCTTCAAAAAGGGAGCAAAGAAGATACAATGGAACATAGAAAGTTTGTTCAACAAATGGTACTGGGAAAACTGTGAAGCTAGATGCAAAAATAATGAAACTAGATCACTACCTTGCACCATACACAAAAATCAACTAAAAGTGGATTAAAGACCTAGACATAAGAACAAAGACCATAAAATACCTGGAAGCAAAGATGGATGAAACACTACAATGACATACACTTCAGTAATATCTTTGAAGATACAGTACCCAATGCAATGACAGTGAAGGAAAGGATAAATAGATGGGACTACATCAAGTTAAAGAGCTTCTGTACAGCAAAAGAGACATTTCAAAAAACAGACATCCCACCAATTGGGAAAATTTTTTCTCATACAAAACCTGTGATAAAGGATTGATCACAAAGATATACAAAGAACTGATGAAACTCAACAAAAATAAACAACCCAATCAGAAAATGGGCAGAAGAGCTAAAAAAAAGACACTTCTCCAAAGAGGAAATGCAGATGGCCAACAAGCATATGAAAAAATGTTCAACATCACTTGTAATAAGGGAGATGGAAATTAAAGCCACAATGAAATACCACCTCACCCCAGTGAGAATGGCACATCTTCAAACAACTAGCAACAACAAATGTGGCGAGGATGTGGAGAAAAAGGAACTCTCCTGCACTGCTATAGGAATGCAAACTAGTACAACCACTATGGAAAACTGTTTGGAGGTTTCTCAAACTGCTAAAAATTATTGCTTTCATATGACCCTGCAACCCCACTCCTACGTATCTACCCAAAAGACACAAAAACACTGATTCAAAAAGACACCTGCACCCCCATGTTTATTGCTGCTTTATTTACAATTGAAAAGACATGGAAACAACCCAAATACCCAAAAGTAGATGACTGGATTAAAATGATGTGGTACATATACACAATGGAATATTACTGTGCAACCAAAAAAATAAACACATGCCTTTTGCAGCAACATGGATGGAGCTGGAAAAGATCATGCTTAGCAAAGTAAGCCAGAAAGAAAAGGAAAAATACCCCTGGTATAAAGGACCAGAGGAGAAAATAATAATAATGAACAGCTATAGACCAGAGACATTTTAAGGGGGTGGAATGGGGAATGGGATCAAAAACAGTGGGGGGAGGGGAAGTGCACTAGACTATGGTGATGGCACATGGGTGATTTGGTGATGGGAAGCCCGCTGGGATTACAACTGAGATGGAAAAAGGCACAAAACAATACAAAAGTAAACTATTATACTATTTTAAAAAAAAAAGACACTTTGTTTTGAAACAATCACCTTGCAAATGTGATCAACCATAACAAAAATTCTTGCTCTTCAAAACCTACCAAATTCAGGTCCTCCCTGGTGGCGCAATGGGTTAGTACGCAGCACTGCAAGCTAGCAGCAGCCACTTCCATGAGAGTTTGATCCCTGACCTGGGAGGTGATCCACATGACATAGCAGGCCTCTCCTGTCTAGCCTGCTGCTCCCTTCAGCAGTGTACTTCATCAATCTGCCTGTTCTGCTCCCTATTCTGTCTCTAGTGAATCCTCGTACCACCCCTGTACCTCTGGCCTATATGCATAAATAAAAAATCTTAAAAATAAACAAATGACAGGGTCCTCCCTGGTGGCGCAGCGGGTTAAAGCACTGCACTAAGAAGTTTAAGCCACTTCTGCATGAGTTCGATTCCAGCCTGCCCCGGAGGAAATACACATGGCGCAGCAGACCTCTCCTGACCCGCCCACTGCTCCCCTCAGCAGTGTACTTTGTCGATCTGCCTGTTCTGCTCCCCGCTCTGTCTCTGGTGAATCCTCTCACCCACCACATCTCTGGCTTGTACCCCAGTTTTGTAGGAGTGAATGAATAAATCTTTAAAAAAATAAACAAATGACAAAGAATGTTGGACTTGATTAAAAAAAAAAAACCTACCAAATTCAATTTAGGTTCTAATTATTAAACAAGCCTCAGCATACATCTTGTTAAAAAAAAACAGAAAATACATATTTTGGTTTTGTGGTCACTTAGGTCATGTAACAGCAAAAAAATTAAGGTGTGGAATATGTATGCACAGTGTACTGGTCTGTAAATGTTTAAAAGACAACCAAGTTGAGTCACGTAAACTTGCTAGACCAAAAGAACCAGCTTATCAGGAGATTCCTACCTTGCTCTGCAAGAGAACCAAATAATGGTTATCCTCAGAAGCAATCATATAGCACTTTTTAAAAGTCCACTGCTTAGAAAATAAGGATATCATTTATCCTGTATCAAACATCTCTTAAGGCACAACTTCTGTTGTGTGGCCACTTGGAAACAAAGGCCTATATATATACACACAAGATTACAAAGGATGCCTCCCATCTTGTGGGCATATTAAAATGGAAAAGCTAAAGCATACATTTCCTATTAAGAATTGCATCTGGGCCCTCCCTGGTGGTGCAGCGGGTTAAAGCACTGCAATCAGAAGCTTAAGCCACTTCCATATGAGTTCGATCCCCAACTGCCCCGGAGGAGATCCACATGGTACTGCAGACCTTTACTGACCCGCCCGCTGCTCCCCTCAGCAGTGTACTTCGTAGATCTGCCTGTTCTGCTCCCCACTTTGTCCCTTGTGAATCCTCTCACCCTCTCCATCTCTGGCCTATACCCCAGTTCTGTATGAATAAATAAATAAATATTAAAAAAAAAAAAAAAGAATTGCATCTGAAGTGTTTCTGAAAAAGTTTCCATATCAAAAGCTCCCCATGTTACAATACTGCATTCAGAGAGAAGGGTTGGGAAGGAGACTTTAGTTTTTCTTTGTGTTTAACCATTTGTGGGAATCCAACTGCGTTGTCATCAAGTTCATTTCCTACAAGAAACCAGAACTCTGAATTTTATATGAAATGTCCAATTTTTTTTTTTTAAAGATTTATTTATTTGTACATACAGAACTGGGGTATAGGCCAGAGGTGCAGGGGCGGAGAGAGGCTTCACCAGCGACAGAGTGGGGAGCAGAACAGGCAGATCGATGAAGTACACTGCTGAGGGGAGCAGCGGGCGGGTCAGGAGAGGTCTGCCACGCCATGTGGTCACCTCCGGGGCAGGCGGGAATCGAACTCTTGCGGAAGTGGCTTTAGCATCTTAGTGCTGTGCTTTAACCCGCTGCGCCACCAGGGAGGGCCATGAAATGTCCAATTTTTAAAGGCTAACAATTACTTTTTAAGCACTGTATGTTGAGCAGTATTCCTGTTTTGGTTGTACCCCAAGCAGGGCACCAGGCCCAGATGTAGAGTGCAGGTATGAAATTCAAACTTAACAAGGGTATAGGGCTGGGCTTGCCTGGAGGGAAAAAGTGCCTTTTCCCTAATTCTCATGAAGTACCTATATAATCAATGGTGGCCCTACTTCTTTAAAATTTCTGGATAGAATTAGAGCACTGAAATTGAACATAATTTATCTATTATTCATTCACAAGGATGATCTTAATCTAAAACCAAGTTGTTCATCTGGTAGGCTTTTTTTATTCTTCAAGCAGTGTCAATAGATTGCACTTACCCTTCCTATCTTGCTTAGTGATACATCTGTGAACATCATCTTTAATAATGTCAGGCGCTTGTATTGCTATGTGTACATAATTGTGCATGAGTGTGTGTGTGTATAAAAGCATATACACATAGTATATACATAGTATATATATACATAGTAGATGTGTAAGCATGAAAATACATATTTGGCTAAACCCTAAGAATTTATGATCAAATGATAGATATGGGTGTGACAGATTTTCACACTGAGCATATACAAAGTTCTGAAAAATCGTCCAAGATTTTGGAGATGTTATTTGTAGAGGTGCTGAATATATCCTTAGATATGTTAGAGAATTTCTGTAATGCTGCTCTTCTCAGGACTTCAACTCTCTTATTAGTCTAAAAGTAAGTACATAGAAGGCAATGTATCATGATACAGAATGCACCAAGCTAGAAATAAGGAAATCTGGTTTCTAATATTAGTTATGCTACTAGTTAGCCATACAGATGTTTCCTGAAGTTGCTCTGGTTCTCAAAAGAATTTGCTTCAAGTATAATTCATGCTTATAAAAAGCCACTGGTTATGGATTAGAAACTAAAACATTGATATAATGTTGAAGTACAAAATTAAGTAGCTCCCAGTGACATTTCCATCCCATAATAAGAACATACAATAGATATTACTGACACACATGAGCAATCTGGGAACTCTCTAGTTATTATAAAACTCATTATGGCAAAGAAATATGTATTCTGCTCCCAGTGCTACTATATTCCTAGCTACATTCTCAAAATCCTTATCAGCTCAGTGAGGTTTGCTAAATAGCTATTTGTTTATATTAGCCTTTTGTAAACATTCATTTTTTAAAGGCTAAAAAAAATAACCAAAAAGAAATGGATACTAGTAAGAAAATTCATCAAATGTTTGTAAAAAAATAAAGAAATGTTGACTACCTAGACATTTATAACCACCTTGAGACTATTTTTTTCATCTTACAGTCAATTGATTTTTTTTTACAACAAAAAAGCCGTAAGCATATATGACTTTTATTTTTATGAAAATTATCTACTAATAGTCATCTCAAAAAGCACAGGGGAAATGAGCAAAAGAATGAAGGATGAAATAGAAGGCTATTAAAGCAGATATTAATATTTGCTAACTCCTGTTGCTTAGTGGGAGAAGCCAGGGCTGCCACCCAGTGGCAACATAAGTCTTTTAAAAATAAAAAAGAATTTGAAATATAACAAAACCATCAAACAAAAACCTCATAGAAAACTTCAATTTTAACATCAGTCATCCTGATGTATTAAATTTACTCTGTAACATATTAAAGTATGGAAACACTCAAGCAATTAGGTGGCACTGGAGAAATTTTTGAAAATACCATGACTTCCTACTGTTTGATAAGCTATGTGATTCAATTATTTTCAATTAAAATACTGAAGATTACTTTAAATTTAAGTCTCCAGAATTAATAATGGGAGAAAGCTATGACTGTAAAATATTACTGGTTTCCTTCTGCAACCTACAGAAGTGTAGACACAATATAGTAGCCTCTATCCACACACTTAAACTTCTGCTTGGTAAATAGAAACAGAAGCACCTGCAAAAATAAAATTTTAAAAATTATTTTCTCTAATGATGAGCAGTTATACATCAATTATACATCAACTTTAGTGTCCCAGTCAACAAAACTCAAAAATACTAAAAACACTGGTACATGTGATAATTATTAGGGTTGGGGAAAAGCAAAGAATCTTATATACCTTCAATTTCCCACAAATTTGGCCATAGTTTTTTTCAACCTGACAGATATTATATATCTTAGTACATGATGCTTTGGCAAAAGGGGGATAGGAGGAATAACAGTACATTCATTTAGTTTGAACAGTTATTATCTCAATGACAGCTTTGTTGTTTCTAATAACCAGACGAGAAGCACCAAAAAAAGTTCTTAGAAATTTAAAGATTTGTTTACAATCATTGTTAATTAAAATTGTACAAGTTTTTTAACCTATGGCCCATTTGCTTAGCTTTACATTTAATTTTTTAAAATAATGGCAGGCACAATATTTGCAATGGCTTCTAACAAATACTTAAAAATAATCATCTAATTTTCCATTTATTATTGCTATTTAGTCACAGAAAAGATTCACACTCTCCAAGAAATTTATTTTAATAGGTGCCATATATTGATATAATAATTTTATATGAGAAATCAATGCAGAAATGACACTGTGCCTTTACAAGAAAATAAAGAAAAGGCAGTAAGGAAAATCTTCTATAAAGACTTTTGATCTACATCATTTTTTTCAAAACAAAAAACCTTAATATTAGAAGCAAAGAAAACAATAAAACAGAGGACCAAGGATAAAGAACTGCTCTATGCAGATGATTTGCATATGTAATATATATGTATAGAATGAATTACAATAAAAATACTTATGTTTTATATTGTCAATTCTCATGTAGAGGCAGAAACAGCAATTTCCAATCAAGCAGGATTGGACATTTTCTCAGTCTTCAATTACATGACAAATTACAGCTTGTGTGGCAGTCACTTCTGGTTAGCAGTATCACGTAAGTGCTTGATAAGATAAAGTTTTTCTCCTTGTTCACTTGTAAAAATTGGTGCTTTTTTGTAATGTTCTACAAGTTCTTCCATGGTGCTGAATTTACGCTGCCCAATGCAATAGACAGTCTCTTTTAGTTGGACTTTAAAATGCTTGTTCTTCCCTTGTGCTTTTAGTGATACTGAGAAATCATTTGGCTAAAAGAGAGAGGGAAAAAAACAAACAAACAAACAAACACGTATGGCAAACATTTTGAAAGACAGCTATTAGCATGTTATATTAAACTCACTAACAGCTTAAATTTGACCACACCACAAGGCACTATGCTAACGTATTCAAACACAGAAACTCTCCTTTACTTCTCAAAACAAACTCATTTTACAGATGAGAAAATTAAGACTAAAAGAAGTTAAACTGATTAATCATCTATCTAGTTAATGAGAGCAAAGATTCAAACTAGCAGACTCCAAAATCTCTTAATTAATATGCTTTATAAACATCCATAGCACATCCTTAGTTTATGTCTGAAATAAAAGACTTTCTCTTCTCCAGTAAAATTACTGGAGAAGGCCCTCCCTGGTGGCGCAGCGGGTTAAAGCACAGCACTGAGAAGCTAAAGCCATTTCCGCATGAGTTTGATTCCCGTCTGCCCCGGAGGTGACCACATGGCACGGCAGACCTCTCCTGACCCGCCCGCTGCTCCCCTCAGCAGTGTACTTCATCGATCTGCCTGTTCTGCTCCCCACTCTGTCTCTGGTGAAGCCTCTCACTGTCCCTGAGCCTCTGGCCTGTACCCCAGTTCTGTATGGACAAATAAATAAATCTTTAAAAAAAAAACTACTGGAGAAACCTCAGAAAAATCCAAGACAAGCCCTTTTAATTAGTACAACAGCAGTTGTACTGCAGAGTGGCTGAGACAGTATTTGAACTCTCAAAGTTTAAGAATACAAGCAAAAAAAAATACATACCAATGACAGAGTGAGTGGACAGAGGGAACAACAGTATACAACTGCCCAAAGGAGGTGACCACTTAGCTTTGACTACTGCCGTGCAGATATATGAGCTCAATGTTGACACATCTTTTAATTTTACAAGGGACGTCTGACGTGTGGATTTTTATAATAAATTGCAAATATATACTGACAATAAATTCAAATGTTTATAAACATTGTGCAGGTCAAATAAAATGCTTGTTTGAGACCTCTACTTTAAAAATTATACTGTTAAAAAAATTGCACATTTTAGCTTACATCTATGCTCAAATACCTTGTAAGAAAATAAACAATATTTTATAATCATAGGCTACTTTTTTTTTTAATCTAATACGTTTTTGAACAGTAGTATCCAAAGCCCCTTTTTTATATACTAATGCCCAATTTTCAAACATGGAGCTTCTTGGAAACATCCCATAATCACTTTACTACCTATACTCCAAGTCACTCCCTTCTTAAGCCCTTTGTCTACTGCTTCTCCTAGAAGCAGGACCATATCTGGCTTCTTACACAAATTCCACCAATTCTCCCTATTATCAACCACTGCTCTTCCTGAGGGATCAGATACAGGCCTCATAATCCCTTAATTTCACAATCTCAATCTTTCCCTCTCACCTTTTCTCCCTCCTCCTCTTATACACAAACACATTCACACAGCTAATTTTACTTTCCTTTCAACCTTTTGTACAGCGGCATGCACATAAATGAAGTCCATACTAACAATGATTTAAAAAGTGAAAAAAGTAATTGTATTCTTTATCAAGGGAAAATAAAAGCTATTTTTTTCAAAGATTTATTTATTTATTTTTACAGAACTGGGGTACAGGCCAGAGATGTGGTGAGTCAGAGGATTCACCAGAGACAGAGTGGGGAGCAGAACAGGCAGATTGACAAGTACACTGCTGAGGGAAGCAGCGAGTGGTTCAGAAGTAGTCTGCTATGCCATGTGGGTCAGTTCCCTGGCTGGGGACTGAATTTGTGCTGCAGTGGATTTGGAGAGCTTCATAATGCGGTGGCTTTAACCTGTTGCACCACCAGGGAGAGCCCCCTAAAAAGCCCTTTTTTTTTTTTAAAGATTTATTTATTTGTACATACAGAACTGGGGTACAGGCCAGAGGTGCAGGGGCG